ACCCAGTTTTTTTAGACACATGTGAAGTCAGAAGCACTCCACTTGCTTTTCACAAGTAGACTTTGCAGAATCAAAAGGAACCCCCAAGATGGCTCAGGGGGTAAAGGCACTTACCGTGCAAGCCGGGAAACCCGAATTAGATACCTAGAGTCTGTATAAGAGTGGAAGCCAAGAACTGAGTGTGCAGAATTGTTCTAGACCCACACACATGCACACACTCCATAGCCAGTGTGTTTGGGCACACACCCATCATCACCATCATATAGTAGCTTTTATAGTTCAACCTCCTCCTCATAGAGAATTTGAGGCCATCCTGAGACACACATGACCCTGTCTCAATAAAAGGGGAAATTCTGCGGATTACTCAGATGGGAAACATCCTCTGTAGTAGGAGCTGTGGGCTGTGTTCCACCTGGCTCCCAGCCGCCTGACTACCTTATGCCCCGAAATAACAACACACAAACTGTATTCATTTAAACACTGCCTGGCCCATTATATCTAGCCTCTTCTCGGCTACCTCTCACACCTGGACTAGCCCATTTCTAATAATTTGTGTAGCCCACAAGGTGGCTTACCGGGGAAGATCTTAACCTAGGTGCATCCTGGGTCAGAGCTTCATAGCGTCTGCCCCAGAGAGGAGAGGAAATGGCATCTGAGCTCACTTCCTCTTCCTCCCAGCATTCTGTTCTGTTTACTCCACCCACCTAAAGGCTGGCCCATCAAATGGGCCAAGGCAGTTTCTTTATTAGCCAATGACCTTCCTCCATCACATCCTCCATATTTATTGCCAGACGTCATGGCCTAAGTTTGATGCCGCATGGTAGAACTGGCCCTCACAAGTGTTCTGCTGCCCTCCACACGTGCTCTGTGGCGCAGATGCCCAAATGATAAAACATTTTTGTAAGAAGGGATTTCACGTGAGAGAGAGATGAGGAGGTGGCAGCCTGGTATTGAAGTCAGGACAAAGTCCAGGAGAATGCCTCCCTACAGGGCATTTGTGGTAGGTAAGATCCAGATGCAAGAGAGGACCGAAGTTTAAAAAAAAATTAATAGCAATACCACTGATAAATCCCTTGATGTGATAAAAGAGAAAGGATCCCCGTACCATCCTCCAGGTGCTGTGTTTTCTAAAGTAGAAGCCAGCTGGTATAGCGACCATGTCTGTAGGAACAAGGGAAAATCCTGCCTTAGGCTGCTGGTTCATATGCGCCCCTCCGGTAGGACGAGTGAGCAATGACAGCAAGCCTCCCTTGGCTCATGAGAGCCAACTGGAGAGTCACCTTGCTTCCATTGGGGTAAACTGGCATGTGGCCTCTGAGCCTGCTACACATCAGTGAGACAGGAAAGCTTGAACTGCAGGTCCTCGATCAGACATCAGGTGACCTGATAGCAGCAACTTTTTCTTCACCTGTGTCATTGCGGTTCCACTGCAGCTTGTATAGAATGCTTCCAGAGGTGGCTTTTAAATGGAGACCTTGGCCACTGTGTCGTGTGACAAATGAACAGGAAAGACTGACTCTAAAGGAAGGCAGCGCTAGAATCCATTCTGTGGAGTGGAGAGACCCTTTGTGGAGCCAGTCGTTATTCTGGCGTGCCCATTTTATGAACGCAGTTGTTGTGTGTTGATAAAATTTTTAGATGTATGCAATAATCATCAGACATCTACTTACCCTTCCGTTCTCATCGAAAGGCATGAGAATCCCTCAAATTAAGTTAAAGTCTCAGATACTAGGAGTGGTAGAATTAAGTCTAGCCAAGTTTGCTTTCTCAGTCCTCAAGCAGTTCAAGGAAGAGGTGAAACTTTCTCGGTGGTGTTTATCAGAGAGCACACTGGGTTAACTCTCCTCCACAACTGCCTTCTGCCACGGGAGGTACTTCACTTTGACCTTCACTCTGGCTACTGTTACTTGATGGGCAGTTTAGTAATGCTTGTGACCGACTTATATGAAATATGTATGTATGTATATATGTGTGTATGTGTTTGTGTATGTTCCAAGACCTTCAGTGGTCTCCTGAAACTATCATTGATTACCAGACCCTGAGTGGGTTATGCTTTTCCCTGTATACACAGTTAAAATAAAATGTCATTTACCAAGTCGACTAGTAAGAAAATAGAATAAAGATGACACTTGAGTATTAAAAAGTGTTGCTGTCCACCTTTCCTGCACTGACTGGTTTTGTGCGTCAGCTTGACACAAGCTAGAGACATCAGAGGAAGGAACCTCAGCTGAGGATATTCCTCAGTGAGATCCAGCCAGCTGCAAGGTGTTTTCTCATTTAATGATCAACAGGGGAGAGCCAGCCCATGGTGGGTGGTGCCATACCTTGGCTGCTGGTCCTGAGTCCTATAAGAAGATGGAGTGAGCAAGCCATGGGAAGCAAGCCAGTACATAGCACCCCCCCAAACACACACACACACACACACACACACACACATCCGCCATGCCTCTGCATCAGCTCCTGACGCCAGGCTCCTGCCCTGTTTGAGTTCCTGTCCTGACTTCCTTCAGTGATGAACAGCAATGTTGAAGTGTAAGCCACACAAACCCTTTCCTCCCCAACTTTCTTTTTGGTCATGGTGTTTCATCGCAGCAACAGACCCTAAGACATCTCCTCTCTTTTGAGAATAAAGACTAATAATGTGTGGGGATTACAGTTGGGCGAAGGAAGCTAAGCCCCTGAAAGCAACCATAGCAAGCAGATATGCCCACTCCATTTGATACTGATCAGATCATTGAAAGATTTAGAAGCTGTAAGCAACTGCATTGTGTTGCGCTGTTGGGTCTTCAAAGAGTGGGCTGGGAAGCTCCTTCTCGGAGTCTGTCAGGACCCCGCATTTCTGAAGGCCCAGCCACGTGGCTCTTTGAGGTGTCTCATACAGTGTGCCCCATGACATTTCCTGTTGGCTAGAACACCCGTATGTGTCCTGTCAGCCCCGGATTCAAGTTCCTTGACCCTACTACCTGGCGGTTGACTTCCCAAGGGAAACGGGCGAGAAATACACCTACTGTATTCCTTCGGCCATATTCTCTTGGCTATATGTGTCGTTAGCAGAACAACCCTCTGAACAAAAGAAGTGCCGATAAGTCAACATTCCCATAAGGTTTTAAATAGTTGTGTGTAATTGTTTATAGATGAAAAAAGTCAAGGAGAAAGCGAGAAATACAGGTTGCCTTCCAGCTTTCCACTCTGTGTCCTGGTTTTGACATGAGACCTGATAACTACTTCATTTACTATTGCTTGTACCATTCAGGCAATCTTCCAGAATTGGTAGTGCCTTGTACCTAACAAGACCCAGTGGAAAGTCTTTCATGTGAGCAAGAGTTGACTCCCAGTCCCTCTCCTTTTATCTATTTTACATCCCTGGTAAGAATCTGCTTCATCATCGCGCTGTAACCTGGAGACCACCAGACTCCACAGTGTCACTCGGATGCCCTAAAAGAATTGATTTTTAGTTAGGCAGATTGGCGGGCTGATGGCAGCATGTGTTTTATGACTGTAACGGAGTGTGTTAAGTGGTTGTGTTCCCAGAGGTAGACAGATTGGCTGACTGCAGATTCGGAGGCCATGCAGACCAGGCGAAACCAGCAGAGGCTGCCCCCAGGAAACTAGGGTGACGAGCACCCTCCTCATGATTCCCTCCACAGTCACGATACGTTGTTTTGAAAACCTCATGGGTTAGCTCATTACTTGAAGGAATCACCATGCCTTTCTAATAGTATAAGAAAACAATGTGTCTCTTTGACTGGAAGGTTTTTCATATAATCTTGATTTGGTTTCTGAAAGCCCTCCCTCCCTTCCTCCCTCCCTCTCTCTCCCCCCTCTCCCTCTTCCTCCCTCTCTTCCTCCCTTCCCTCCTCTTTCCCTCCCTTCCCTCCTCTCTTTCTCTCCCCTCTCTCTTTCACTCTCTCTTCCCCTCCCTCCTTCTCTGTCTTTGTCCCTCTCTCTCTCATTTTTCTCAAGAAGAGATATTTTTCCCCTATAAAACTGCTTCATGTGTCCATCATTCTGAAGACTGCAAATACCTTAATTTTTCAAAAACTCCATTATTTCCAGGCCTTCCCGTTCTCCTGAAGTTTGGAGGCTTTTCTGGGGGTGCCCTGGTGCAAGGGGTCAGAGGCTCTCATTCGCATCTGCTCTGAAGGTGGTTCAGACGGCGTGGTTTATGCCTTCTCTTTGAAAGCACTTCGATTGCCCAGCCTCAGCTTTGGGAGTTCTGACCCCTTGCCGTCTTCTCCTGTCGACTTCTCATTCCACCCGGGGCACAGGGTGTGAGAACAGATAGAAAGGAAGATAGTCACCAGTCTTGATCACATCACCTTGTGTTTTGTGACTTGTTAAAACTTCGCGTGTGTTTCATACAGTCTAATTAAGGGGAATACTGTGTTGCTTTTGCCTTTGCAAACCTGTGGTTAATGTCGTTTCGTTTATCGGGTAAGCTGAATTAGTTCAGTGCAAACGGATCTTCAGTTCCGCGTGAGAAAATGACAGTGGAGACTGCCCAGTGCATTTTTAAAGTTTTTAGTTTTGTTACTCTCAATAAGTGTGTGATTTTGGCGGTGGGGAGAGGGTTGTGTGAAGTCTGTAAAGTCCTTGCTTCATATGCAGGAAGACCTACATCCAGTGCCGAGCTACCTTGTAAAACACTCAGTGGTAATATGCACTTGTAATAGCCATGCTGGGGAGAGAGGAACAACCATTCAGCCGCAGGTCCCAGTGAGAGGCCCTGTCTCAACAACTCATGAGGGATGACGAGCAAGGTTGCTCTCTGGCCTCCAGAAGCATACACACACACCCACACACGTCAGCTCATTCATTGTGGTATTTTGCATGAGGAATGGCTCAGGAAGAGCACTGAGCAAGAGCCACTGTGTCCAAACCACCAGGTCCACTGTGCTCTTTGTCCCCAGTGTGTCCAAATTCCTGGCCATTGAAGACAGAGTAGAACAGTTCAGTGACCATGAACTATCACGGCTCCTTCTCTTTTGCTTTTTTTCTAGCGTCTATCAAATAGTTGTGGAGGAGGAGCGTCCTCGGAGGGCCAAGAAGACAACGGAGATTTTGAAGTGCTACCCAGTGCCGATCCACTTCCAGAACGCCTCCCTCCTGAACTCGCAGTACTACTTCGCTGCCGAGTTTCCGGCAGACAGTCTCCAAGCCGCACAGCCCTTTACCATTGGTGATAACAGGACGTACAACGGCTACTGGAACACCCCCCTCCTCCCCCATAAAAGCTACAGAATTTATTACCAAGCTGCTAGTAGAGCCAATGGGGTAAGTGTGGGTGATGTCTCTGGATTAGGCTCTTTCTTGACGGTGTTCATGTAAGCGGTGGTTAAATGAGCGAAAACAAAATTTAGCCATGGTTTTGTGTGCTTCAGTTGGAAACATTTTTATGTTTTTTTTTTTTTTTTTTTATCAAGAGAAACTTATGGAAAGAACTGCGTATGTGTGGTTTTTGTTGGTGGTTTAAAAGCGTGTTGTCAACTAGATAATCACTGTTTTCCAGTTCTCTCCTCACCGAAAGTTGGCTTGTCATTCTGCTCAGCTGACTAGTTTGCCCAGCGATGGTGTAGCTACAACACATACATTCAGCTCATTTCGAATTTTGTGAGGTCCGGAGCATCTGTCTTTGAAGCATATTCTGGCCCATTGCCTCAGCCCCCAAGACGGCATGCATCCTGCGGCTGACTAAATCAGACGTCTTCTTTTCCTCTGAGAGAAAAGAGCCCTAGAAAGATGGGATGGTAGTAAAGAAAAAGCAAAAAGCTATTATTGAGTCAATCCAGCAACGGCCTGTTTTACCTGTTCAGACCAACCTAGGGTGCAGAGGAGACCGCATAGCTGACGTGAAAGGAAGCGCTGTTAGCTTCTGCCTCACCCACTCTGCTTCACGGCTTAGGTCCACGTGTCATAGCCACTGACCTGTGTAGTGTGAGGCAGGAGCATCTAGGGTGCAGATTCTTCCCCAGTGACTGTTGCATGGGGTCAGGGACGGGGTTGGAGGAATCACAGGCCACCAGGACAGAGATCGAAAGCATCGCTTCTCTCTTTGTGGCCCAGAAATGTCTGCTGCCTCCATCCTGGTAGCAGAAGGTATATCTGGGCGTGCCTCATGGGCGTGTCTCTCTGAGAAAAAGCCACACTGGAAACAGTGGGCTCTCTCCTTGTTAGAGTTAACTCCTTAGAACTATGTTCCCCTCAATCTAAATACAATTTGGATAGCAATTTCTCTCTCTTCATTTGTTACAGGAAACAAAAATTGACTGTGTCCGAGTGGCCACAAAAGGTAGGTTAAAACTCTGCGATGGTCTACGTGTTTGTGTGTTCCTGAAACTGATTTTATGCTGTGTTTGAAAACATCGGAAAATCTATTAGGAACTTTACTGAAATCAGTTTATGTATGTATATTGAGTGTGTACATACATGCACGTAGGTAGGCACTAGGATCCTAGGGTAGCTGATACTGCTTCATGGAGATCCGTTTCAAAATCAGTCACACTGCTAGAGCCCGAGCAGTTTTCAGTGGCTATCTTTATAAAAGTTATTATAAGAATATTAATTATTTTCTATGATCCCAGTATTCATGTTTTAAAGGTAAGTGTATAATAACTGGTAGACATATGCAGTGAATCTTCACATGTAAAAGAGTAAAATACCACATACATACACACCCATTTTTTTTAGATGAGTCATCACCCCAATGTCCAGACTAGATCCAGACACCCGGGCTCAGGTGACCCTCCCAAGTAGCTGGGGCTTCAGGCACAGGCTGCGGCTCCTGCCGTGCCTTCCACTTTTGGTGACGTGTCTGGAATGTTTTTTTTTTAAAGATTTATTTATTTATTATGTATACAACATTCCTTCCATGTACACCTGCACACCAGAAAGGGGCACCAGATCTCATTACAGATGTCTGTGAGCCACCATGTGGTTGCTGGGAATTGAACTCAGGACCTCTGGAAGAGCAGTCAGTGCTTTTATCCACTGAGTCATCTCGCCAGCCCCGACGTGTCTGGAATGTTGTTGCACAGCCTGGGCTGTTTTCGCTGATGATCTCAGGATCCAGGGGACATTACAGTGGCTCTTCTGGTTCTTGGGCCTGGTTCAAGTGTGAGCAGTGATCGTGGCTAGGGATCCTCACCACCGCACATTCCTCGTAGTTAGCCTCCCGAAGAAGGCACAGACATGTGAGCTGGCACTCGGGTCGCAGTGGCTCAGCAGCCTCAGGGTTCAGCCGTCCTGTACAGGAGCGTCTGGGAAAGCACTCGGAGGCATACGAACGCTCTACTCACTTGAAGCCTTATGCATTAACACTTGCCATGAAGCACACTCTCCAGACCACCAGAGGAACCAGGAGGGCGATAAAGAGGCTCTGATGCTTTCATTAGACACGAAGAGAAGAGGAGATACCATCGGGTCTGTGGCTTGAGATTTAATCAGGTCGCAGTGGATGAGTTCTTTGACTGAAAGTACCAAAATACTCCTCATGCCTTCTTATTTTATGAACACTCATATCCCCTCCGATGTAGAGTTAGCAAAGGCTTCCTGGTTGCACGTCACGTGAGAAGCTCTAGGTGACATGCTCAGCTCCTTGGTAGTTTGTTTATTCACAGGGGTTTTTGGTGTCTAGTCCCATCTGTTTATAGAGAGTTTCAGAGACATTTTTATCTCTTACCTGACTGACACTCTAATAGATGTGTAGTAAATTAAATTATGGGTTTCAGTCTATCCTATCAACTGCCCTATGCTATCAGCTAATAGTTACCGCAGTATCACAAAGCCCTTGGACCAGGCGCCCACCATACCCTCAGGTCTAAGGTGCACAGCAGCCCCTGCTCTAGAGGAGTCCTCTGGAGAACTGTATTATGACATGCCACTTAGCCTTATGTTCTGGAAAAGTCCATCCATCTCAGGTGGCAGTCTGTCATGCCCTGTGTGTCCTGTCCTGTCACAGCCGCACATTACACAAGCCCCTTGAATATGCCTTCTCATTCTTTTCCTCTCCGTGATCTCAAGCAGGGGACGGGACAACCACTTCTCTCGTATTTAAGGTGCAGAATATACGCGGGCTCGGCGGTGAGCCGACTAACCAGGATCGCGCATCTCACGATCTGTATCAAGGGTTGACCCCAGGCTTCTAGAGCCCCCAGATCTCTTTCCTTGCCGCTGCTAGTGTTGCACCCCGCAGAGAAGCGACGGACGGACGGACGGTCCTTTGATAAATGGAACCATCCGACCTTCTCCTTATCAGAAATGAGTCACTGCCCAATCTAGTGGGAGCGCTTTAAAATTTCTGTCACCCTGTTCATTTACATCATTAAACAATTGCATAAACAGAATCCTAGTGAATGCGGAAACCCTGGCAAGTATGCTGTTTTCACGGTGGATTGAATTGGATGGTGATTTGGATCATTCTCTTCCATCGGCTAAATCTCATCAGTATCCTAATTCGTTTTTTTTCAATTCACCAAAGGGCGATTAGGCAGTCAGATGGCCTGATTGGCTAAATACCCCCCTCATATTTTCTGAGTCGTTTGCAAACATTTACACAGCACCAAACCCTATCCGAATAACGTCTTTGGTGGGGAGGGGAAACCCAGTTCAATATTCCCTGTCTGACATCGTCACTTCTGTCTCCTAAAAACACAGTCCAGTACCCAGCTCAGGAAACAGGCTCCCTCAAGGCACATGGCATGGTTTTATGCCACGTCAGGACCTGCATGCATGGCTTCAGCACCTCCCTTTCAGGACACAAACTGACAAGCCAGCTCTTTCACGACGAGAAAGGTTTCCCTTCTTTACACTAAAACATCCCTTTGTAGCCCAGGGTTCCGTCTAAACTGTTAGGTCAGAACCAAAGAATGAGTGGATCTGATAACTCCAGTGTCATGGAATGAAGATGTTTGAAATTTTAAGAGTTCTCACCATGCAAGCGTGCTTAGCCACATGTGGCTGACGGTGTGGTGGCGTGGCTGAGCCTCAGGTACACACTGCCTTCCTCAGTGACCTTGTGCGTGAGTGACGTCACGCCCCCAGGAAACCACAGAGGAGGCCCGGAGGTGGATTTGTTTCCCCAAAGAGCTAGTTTGTAATTTCGAGTAAGAGGGTGTCGCTTAAGACGAGACTTCATACTACTTATATATTTAATGTTGTGATTATTTTAATCACGTTCTAAAGGTGTATTTTGACATTCATCATCACGAATATAAAGACCTATAAAAATCAGGACAGGGGAAAAACAAGAGCTAAGGTGGGTTGCCACCGACACCCCTCTTTGAATGGGTTGCCCATATTTTTTGCCTCTTCCTTTAATTTGTGGGTCCAGAGAAGAGTTGTGTTGGTATGACTTCAGTGTGATTGTGGATTGCAGGCGAATGCACTACACACGCTCCTCTATTGAATTAGAAGAAGGTGCCACGTACTAGGCTCTGCACATTTGCATCTAACTCTGCCAGTACCAGTCTGTACCATGGGGTGACTGGAGAGCTTGTAGCTATTTTTACAGCTCCCAATGTTTACTATGTTTTTACAAATCACATTCAAATTTTTATTCGTTCAGTTGTTTCGAATCTCATTTGGTCCACATCTGAACAATTACAGTGTATGTGCTTTCTTTATATACTTTACGATCCTTTAGAGAAATCATAACTCTTAGGATAGCAACCTTTCCTTGTGACTTTAGAAGGCTCTATGGATGAGCAGGTCTGACAAAGTACACTTAAAACTCAAAGACTGTCTTAGAGATAAATTGTTCTTGTGAGTTAAATGAGGCACGTTCATTCTAATTGATGCAACGTCCAGCTTAAGCTGTCTATATTAATCTTCCATAAGATAAGACGTTCCCTATCGGAATGTAATTATGTCTCTCCTTGATGATACCATCATCGGAGCTGTGCTGTCTTCTATTCATTGTACGAATTCTGTCATGCCTTCTGTGTGTTACTTATAGAGTAACCTGTGAGCTTTGACATCTAGACACAAAGACATATGTATTTCAATTTGTGAGGATTTTGAGTTGGTAAGAGTTTGGAAATTTGTTAGGAGCTGGGCTTTGATGCGTGGGGGAGATCATACATGTTAACTTTCTCCTCTCCTTGTGGCGCCTTCCCTAGCCAACAGGGCAGCTAGGAATCAAAGCCAAGTGCGCGTGCACACACATACGCTAAAATCTTTCCCGCACAACTAGGAAGTCAGGCTGTCACCTTCAGACATGGGGAGAACAAATTATTATTCTGAGATTCGATTTTTAAGGTGACTGTTCTCTGGGGGAGTGCCTCGCTGGCTGTTTGTAAGTTTGGCATTTTGTTTGACCTGGATTTGCATTCAGTGACAGCTTGCTTTGCCGGGAGACCTTGAGGAAACTGAAGGATTTCTATTGTTCTGATAACAATTTCCAACTGTATTCACAAATATGAGTGTTTTATTTTTTTTTTTTTAAAAATCACTAGACTATTGGAGAAGTTTCTCCAACGCTGTTTTTCTTTTCATTCTTTTGTTCAAAGAAATGCCGTCCTTCCTAGGCCGGCATGCTATAGAATTGGAAGTGTGCTCGAGAAAAGAGCCCAGAAGAATGTCTGTTGAGATGTAAAGCTAATTAAGATTCTTTTTAATTACTCACATTCAATTCAGGAGCAAACAAAGGATGGAGCAGGGCACTTGCTTGTGCTAATCCACCATTGTTCGGGCTCAGGCTATGGATTTAGCGCTTGCGGCATTCAGCATTTTGTGGAGAAGTATTTTTCTTCTTTTGATCTAAAATTGTCTTCATAATATAAACCCAGGACTGTCTTCACCCCTGGAAGGTTCTAAAAAGATAAGAAGATAAATAGTCCCGTGGGTCCCAGATTCCTCACACCCCAACCTCATTCTTCCTGAGTCACAGGACATGCAGTGTGGGAAGAGCAATTTAGCAAACTCAGGGTCACTTTGCGTGAAACCCCAGTGGCATTGCAGAGACCCACGCCCATGTTGTTTCTTTGTTCATGTGTACAGCTGCACCTCAAGCAAGAGCCCGCAATAATCACTAGTATTTCTCCTTAGAGGATTGGATTGAAATTTCTGGCTTAATTTTGCCGAATTTGTCTGTTTTAGAAATTAAACTCACTGGCCTGTTAAAGTGGGGTCAGAATACTTTGAGTAGCCAAGGCCAGATAAGACAGATTGTAGGCTGGAACTATTACTCAACAGCAGAAGACTGTTCTTTGCACATGCTAGATTCTGAGTTAATCTCCAGCACTGATGATAAATTAAAAGATTCATTATTAAGAAGCTAAGTCATCAAGAATA